GTGGGAATTTTCTGGAAAATATAATTTAATTTTAAAGTTTTGGATTCATTTCAGTGTTGGTAATGTCAATGCTTCTTAGACCAAGTTTATCAGGGATGTTTCTTCTACACCAGATGTAGCAATAACTTTGTCATTTATTCTATTTTGACTTTAAAAAAAATAAGATCATTTATTTCCCTATCTTAATCTGATTTTCACTTTTGCTTTGACATCTTATAGCAATATGACTGAAGTTGTTTCTACTTCCTTTTTAGTGAACTCTTGTAATAAAGCTGCTGGCTTAGAAACTCCAAAAAAGTGTGAATGACTTATTCTGATTCTACTTTAGCAGGAGAAGGAAACAATTGCAGACCAAGAACATTTCTGTGCGAAGGATGGGTGGTTTGGTCCCCCCGGAGGTCAGTCAGGGTTTTCGTGGGAAAACGTTTCTACATTCAAGCTCGTGCTTGGCCTTTTGGGCTCTGCAGGTTAGAGAGGGAGACAGAGGAAGGAGCGCTCCAAACCTTCTGACTCTTACTTGGAAGTAGCCAAGCAGAAGCAAAGCTGAATAATAGCCATGACCTCAGGCTCTGAAGCACCAGGCTCCACCTTCAGATGTGTCTGTTAAATTTCACCACCCTGGGTTGCTCTGTCTTCACTGTTTTCTCTCTGAGATATCTTGAGGCATTTTTAAAACATCGTGTTGTTTTAAATAGTAATTTAGTCACTCATTTGTATTTTTTCATAATATTAAGCCTCGGGTTATTCTGTGTGTTAACTAAAGTCACTGATCAGATCTCTAAACTAAGCCTTGAACTGCCTCTGTTCCACCTACTAAACTTATGCCTTTCTTCTGCGTAGAATGAGGTGACTGGTGCTAGTTTGTCCTGAAGAGAGATATATTTCAGAAGAATTCCCCTGTCAGGAAATATCACCATCAATAATGAAACTATGTGTAAAGTCATGTCTAATTTTATTAACTCTTTGTCACAAGTACTCAGATTATAGAAAGAGGGTCTTGATCCAAGCTGACCCCGAATTGTTATACATTTGGATCAGTTTTCCCTTTCTCAGTAACATTTGCTGAGGATTCTCTAAGAAGAGTAGAAATTCACTGTAGTTCAGTGTTGGGAGGAATGATTGTACCCACTTATAGAATTGCTGAATCACAAGAGAGGTGCATTATATGTTTGCGTGGAGAGGCTGGAGGGATTGAGGCAGGAGTTTATTTGATAGGGAGTTTACATTTGTAAGACATCTAATTTTGCTTAAGATATCATTGCAGTAAGAATGGCTTTATCTCTACCCTGTAGACACTTACACTATACAAAACCACTCAGAACAAAGAGCCCTTATGAGGGAGTAATTTTTCCTTGATTCACCTGATTAGATTTTTTCGAGGTCAAATGAGGTTTTGTAAAAGGCCTTTCTAACCTGCAAGGCACGATGACCTGTATCAGGCTTCTCAGATTTTACCATGCCAAATAACTACTGGTGTACCTTTATAAATGTAGATTCCCAAGCCTTTGTTGCCTACCCCAATTCAGATTATAATTCAGTCGTTTTAAGGTGTGCTCCAGAAACCTGCATCTTGATAAAAAGGCCAGGTGATTCTTGTGCAGATAGTTCGGAAACATACTCTGGAAACACTGTATATTTTCATTTTGTTGCTTCATTTCTTAGCTGTGTCATCACACGCAAAAATAAATCCCAACACTTTTTTTTTTTTTTTTTTTTGAGACAGAGTCTTGCGCTGTCGCCAGGCGCCAGGCTGGAGTGCAGTGGCTCGATTTCGGCTCACTGCAACCTCTGCCTCCCGGGTTCAAGCAGTTCTTCTGCCCCAGCCTCCTGAGTAGCTGGGACTACAGGCACGTGCCACCACACCCAGCTAACTTCTGTATTTTTAGTAGAGACGGGGTTTCACCTTGTTGGCCAGGATGGTCTTGATCTCTTGACCTCATGGTCCACCTGCCTTGGCTTCCCAAAGTGCTGGAATTACAGGCGTGAGCCACCATGCCCTGCCCCAACACTTTTATAGTTAATTAACTTCATAGTCATTTAATTACTTTGTAAATTACCCCTTCAAAGTTTTAATTCCAGGACTGCTTCTATTTTATTATTTGTGTTACCCATAGTCCCCCATCATAAATTAGTGAGTGCCTGGGTTCTTCTAAACATATTATGTTTCTCACATAGACACAGTGAGGGGAACAACACACACTGGGATCTCAGTGGGGAGCAGGAAGGGAGAGCACCAGGATTAATTGCTAATGCATGCAGGGCTTAATATCTAGGTGATGGGGTTGATAGGTGCAGCAAACCACCTGGCACATGTTTACCTATGTAGCAAATCTCCACATCCAGCACATGTATCCTGGAACTTAAAATAAAATAAAATCTAAAACAACAAAAAAATTATGTTTCTAAGACTATAAATGTCTCTGATTTTCGTAATTGTTTACATTTCATAAAGCATTTTTACGTATCTCCAAAGCCTCACTATTCTAAATAGCCTGTATCTGTACCTCAGTGCTGCTTCAATGATATAGATTATTGAAAACTGATTATTATTATTTGGAGACAGAGTCTCACTCTGTCGCCCAGGCTGGAGTGCAATGGCACAATCTTGGCTCACTGCAACCTCCATCCCCCAGGTTCAAGCAATTCTTCTGCCTCAGCCTCCCAAGTAGCTGGGACTACAGGCATCCCCATCACACCTGGCTAATTTTTCTATTTTTACTAGAGATGGGGTTTCACCACACTGGCCAGGCTGGTCTTGAACTACTGACTTCATGATCCACCCACCTTGGCCTCCCAAAGTGCTGGGATTACAGGAGTGAACCACAGCGCCTGGGCTGAAAACTGATTATTTTAAAACTAAGGATTGCTTTCTGTGGACTGAACAATCGTTAGCATTTTTACGTCTCTATCTAATTCATGGTCTTAACTTCTAAGGCATTGGATCAGCACCAGAGCTCCCTGTCCTCCCGCCTTGCTTAAATACAAAAAAGAAAGGAAAGAAAAGAAGGGATTTAAATACTGCTTTAAGGCAGAGTGAAAGTAAACCAAAGGTGCATACTTGAGAACTGCATGCTGGAAATTGCAAGTGACAATAATTATCTCACCTTATTCCCACACAGACCTCCTATGACCTGGGTGACCTTGGGATCTGAATTCTGTTGAATAGAATTGTCCCTCTTCTGCACCACGGCGTACACTGGCCTGAAGAAGGTGCTGTTTCCCAGGAAAAGCACTTAAATCCCCCCAAGAAATGCATAGGGCCATAGTTCGAAGAATAAGTATTGCTAACCAAGTGACTTACTCTGCATATTCTGCCTTTCTCTGGTTATAGTCTTTGAGATTTGCATTTAAGATAACTTTCACCATCTCTTTTTAAAGGTCAGATATGAATGAGAAAACTTTGTTTGACTTGTTCATCTTGTGACAAACAGTTTATATCCAGCGTAGCTTCCTGTCTTTGCCGACTGGTTATTTGAGGGAATTTTCTTCCTGTAAGACTGTGGAGAAGCCTCTAAAAATAAACAGCATGGTTTCTTATTGGTGGGAACATATGTGAGCAGATGTCAGCTGGAAGCAGCATATGGTGGCAACATGATAGTAGTCTGTGCTTATAGAGTCCTGGGTGTCGGGTCTTTGCCTTCCATGCCCCACAGGCCGTTCAGAGTCCCATATCTCAGCGAAAGAGCGTTCTGTGTAGAAGGTGTAATCCACACATGTGTGAAAAATCTGTCACTGGGATCTCATTAGTGGGCTCAATATTGGACATGGTAAGTTCCAGAGCATGGAAAAAGTCTTCGTTATCCATTTAAACATTGAGTGATAAGAGGCACACATGTGGCAAAATAAAATAAAAATCGAGAAAGGAGTCCACAAAGCCTTTGTCTTATGTTGAAAGGTTTCAAGTCCGGTCTGAAGAGTGGTAGTGTTAGTTCTAGAAGACGTACCCTATGGAAATGGAAGGTGCATGGATTCTCAATGTATGTAAGGAGCTAGGAAAGAGTAATGTTCATGCCAGGCCTAAAAGGCAGTCAGGGCTTCTTTTGTTACACAAGTTAGACAACTGCTCATATTCCTTCATCACCTTTTATATGTCAGTCTGTTTTAAATATATCATCTCGTTTCAATTTTATAAAAACCCTCAGGGCTGGGGTTATGCCTGCCTCATCTCACAGACTTGTCCATGGATTCACAGGAAATCAGTGACAGAATGAGGGTTTGAATTCACATCTTCTCCTGCAAAAATTCTCTATGTTTATTGACTTTACCACTGATAGAAAAGCTTTTGAACACCCAGCAATGTTTTTTCTTCAGTTTGCAGTATTTTTGGGGGGAGGGGGTATGCTTTCTTTTCTAAGAAAATGGTGGGCAAAATACAAATTGGGTTGCTATTACTTTAAAGAAAGCGAAGTTCAAATTTTCCGGATGTAATAACTATCACAGAAGATGTGTTTAATCCATTTCAGGGAGCTCTAGCTTTTTAAACGGTAGGTAAGTAGCCCCAAACCAATATTCACTTGTGTTTTTGACCCATTCAAGAAGGAGTTTTCACATGCGAGTTAGAAATGATGACAGGTGGTTTTAAGAACACTGAAATCTAGGCCAGTCAAATGAAAACCAAAGTTTTATTCTTAATAGGTAGGCTGCCTTTTGTCAAAGGAGGTCAAATCCTTTCTTATTCATCTTTAATATAAATCAAAGTATTTATTTTACCATTTCACTATGTAAATTGTGCACTGTTGTTTTAACATTAGAACGTGCTAAAGAGAAAACTGAATCCAGGAGTCTGACTGCTGGTTAATGGATGTCAGAATATCTGGGACTAGAATCCGGAATCCTCCTTAGATCCTCAGTGTCTAATTCCCTGGCCCCAGGTAGCAGGGACCTTATTTCTGGGGAAATGATAAGAATGAGTTCCTCTTCTACTTTGAGTCTTTGTATAGTTCTGTGCCAGGCATCTCTTCAGTAAAATAGCTAATGACTGTGCTTTTTAAAACTCCTAGCTGTCTGCCCAGTTGTTACAACACCCTCTGGCTCAGTGGGCAGCTTGTGCTCCAGACAGTCCCAGGTGCTCTGTGGGTACCTTGGTGAGTACACTTGTCTGCTTTATTCCTCGTTTGACATAGTTATATCAAATCCATCTTTAGTGTTTGTCTCCTTGGGGAACTTGCCAGAGGCAAGATGAGATTCTGAAATGCAGCCTTGTAGCTGAGCGATCACAAAAGTGCCTAGAATTTTTTTTTAGTAAGAGTGTACATGAGAAAAACTAATGAATAGCTTTGAAGTAATACAATGACTATCCTGCAGCATGTAAAAGAATGACTTGTGGGAATGAGCTATGTGTTCTCGGGGTCACAGAATGATTTTATATACACCTTTGCTGACCCCCATGGAGGCCACTCTCTGGAGGGTTGGCCAATATGGCCTGAATGTCAAGAGAATGTTCCTTTTTAATATCGTATTTGTATGAATATTCTTGTTCCTGACACATGGTAGTTGCTCAATTAATGTTTCTTGTCCTGAACTAAAGTGGAAGGAGATTTTCTCTCCTTTAAGGTTCTAGAGCAAGCTTGTCCATCCCTCTGCCTGCATGCAGCCCAGGATGGCTTTGAATGTGGCCCAACACTAATTTGTAAACTTTCTTTACAAATTTTGAAATTTTTTTGCTATTTTTAAAGCTCACCTGCTATCGTTAGTGTTAGTGTATTTTATGTGTGGCCCAAGACAATTCTTCTTTTTCCAGTGTGGCCCGGGGAAGCCAAAAGATTGAAGGCCCCTGCTCTAGAGGGAGACCCGTGGGGAAGTTATGCTGCTGATTATTTGTGACCTTTGTATTGACATGTTTGAATTGCATGAGGAAATGGATTGTCGTGGCTTAGGCCCTCAGCTAACTGGACCTGTGAGCTTGCCACTTGCTCAAACCACTTAGCCCTGACCCTGAGAGCCGGCACCAGGTGTTAGGCTGAGGGGTACCCTTTCTCATTTGCAACACTGATTAATTCAGCCATTTATTGAATGCTTACTATATGCTGGGCAGTGAATCCACCGCAAAGAAGAGAGCTTGGGTGATCCCAGCACTCAAGGAATTCAGTGGCTAAAGTTACCCCTGAACCACGCTTAGGAAAAAAGGAAGCGGACTTGCAATCCTGGCATTGGTTCACTACATATTTTTGAGGCCCTGAGAAGGTTTGGATTATGTCGATTCTAAGTGCGGTTGGAGGTCCCAGCTAGAGACAAAAGAAATGTTTTTCTTATCCTAGGAAAAGCCTAGGTGACTGGATATCCTATTCTGCACTTTATCATGGTTACACATTGTTGCTTAGAAATCAGTATACTTTATTTACAATGGCCTAAGCTGGGATTTCCTCAAAAAGAACTCATTCTATTGAGAGTATATGTTGATTTTAGTACAGAAAGCCTCAAAATGTAGCTGCAATGTGAATAAAAAGAGTGAAAAGTTTAATCATGCCTTCAAAGCTCCCTTTTGTGAGTCATTACATTTTGTTTTTATACTCTTAAATTCTCATTTTATTTCACTAGATAAACCAAGTAATTAGACATCTGATTTTCCCCCCTAGCTAACTGGCTATTTGGAAAGGAAAAGGGGAAGGAATGAGAAAGAGAAAACATTTGTTGAATACCCTCTATGTCCCTGGTACTTAAGACACATCATTCTAATTTTCCCCACATTGGTTGGTCAGGGAAGGCCAGAATGATGATCCCCATTTTTTAGGAAATTGTGGTTTGGTGAGGTAAACACCTTGTCCTTGGTCACAGAGCTGACTGGTGACAGAGCCAAAATCTGAATTCAGGTCTGGCCTGGAGGCCACATTACAACAGAGGCCCCAAACTTTTTCCCCCATTTTTTGCATTTCCTTTGGAATCCTGTCCTGTTAATTTTGTAACTTTCTTGCCTGCTACTTGGGATTAATTTCCTTTTCATCTTTTCCTCCCATAGTAAACAAAGTGAGAGGCCTACCCCAGTTCTTTGGGTGGTTTTTCTTCTCAGACACTCCTCACTTGGGGTTATTTTCGGTCACTTAATTGCTGCGAGCTTCTCTCTTCCTTTGGTAAAAAAATATTGGAAACCCACCCTGCTCCTCAGCGAGTCAGGGAAAATCAGGAGTGTCTGAGGGTGTGGAAGGGGAGATAGGGCGCAAGCTCCACATGGATTTCCATGCAGTGGGAGGCTCTTCCAAGGCCCTGCAAAAACCCTGCAGACCCCTTTCAGACCTTCCATGCAAGGCTGCTGAGCAGTGGGGCTCTGCATTTTTTTTTTTTTTTTTTTTTTTGTTTTTCGTGTTTTTTTTTTTTTTTTTTTTTTTTTTTTTTTTTGTCTCTGTTCTTAGAAATAGTAATTGAGTAAAAATGTAAGTGAGCGTATGCCAGGGGGCAGGCATCCAGGGTCAGGGTGAGTTTCTCCATGCTGAGTGTGATTCTGAACACTCGTTAAGTGAAGTTGCCCTGTGCCAAGCAGCTCCAGGGCCATCCCTGTCACCTTGCATGAACCGCCTCTCCATTCCAAGGAGATGTTGGGAACGGCTGAAGGGAGGGTGAGGCCCGTGGCGCCTCTTGCTTTTCTCACTCTCTAACCTGGGTGTTGTTGATAATGACGTGTTCTGACACTGACAATTGGACGGGCAGCTCTGATGCTGCACCAGCTTTAAATTAAATACCCTGAGGGAGAAAACAGTCCGTGCTCCTCACAGCCCATGTGATTGCAAAATCATTTATCTGTTCTCAAGCCTAGTATCTCCAATAATATTGGTTAAGATGCTGTTAGCTTGCCTAAAGGTTTTCCTATTAAAACATAAGAATCCAGAGTGTAAGCATTAGAGATAAGTCTCTCTATGAAGGAATGGATGAATAGTCATGAAGGCAAATATAATTTTTTTTTAAAAGTATTTACTGTATTTACTGAGTAAGAGGCTCTTCAGTAACTTGGTTAAGATTTAAAGGTGGTAACGTCCTCTCATTCTGGGCCAAGCATCCTCCCACCCCAGCCTCCTGAGTAGCTAGGACTACAAGTGTGCACCACCACACTGGCTAATTTTTTTTAAAAATTTTTGTAGAGATGAGGTCTGACTGTATTGCCCAGGCTGGGCTCAAACATCTGACCTCACACATTTCTCCTGCCTCAGCGTTCCGAAGTGCTGGAATTACAGACATGAGCCACTGTGCCTGACCCAAGGTGTTGTTTCTCAAAATGTGATCTGTGTTTCTGTCTCCTGGGACATCCAGCAGATTCTTTGGCCCCATTTCAGAGCTGCAGAGTCAGAATCACTGGGGTGGGTAGAGCTGAGGACTCTGCACATTTTAAACAGGCACTGCAGGTGCATCTGACCTCACTGAAGTTTGCAGCTGCTCAAGTCAAAGGATGCTCTGATTATGCACATCTGTTTACTCAGTCACACCACATGGATGGATTCAGATCCCATGGACTCTCTGTTGGATCAGCTGGTCCTTCAAGTGTGACCCTGTACCTACAGCAGCCCCTACGGAGTTTTTGCCATGTGCTTTCAATTTTCCCAATATTTTTTCATATATCATGCAAATATTTGGGTAGTTATTAATAGTATTACTTGTTATTAATAGTACCACGCATACCCTCTATTCACTATTTGTCACAGAGGAGAACAATGAGTGTGCAAGGAAGTAAATTAATCATGTGGGTGGGTGCTGGACGCCTAGTTTGAAAGTTACGTATGCGAGTGAATTGCTGCACTCATAGGCCTTCAGCTGGGCAACTGTAGAGTGGGAAAGGCATTTTCAAAGCTAGTGTTTAATGCATAAGTGCCATATATCATGTATAAAGTAATGTATAATTCCTTGAGGTAGTATTTGGTCAAAGTGCTGCTGACCTCTTGATGGCCTGAATCCTGCTCTGAGACATTCCATGGGGTAAGGACCTAGCAAATAATGGAATGTAAACTTTACTATCTCAGCCAAACTCAGCTTTGGGTAACTGAAGGTTTCTCTTTCCAAATGGTGTTTTGTTCAACCAGAGGCATTAGAGCAGGCAAGAATCTGACCCACCTATTAAGAAGCAAAGTTAATGATAAATCACTTGGAATTTTCTTGTGCAGCCCTGTGCCTCCTGGTATTCTGATGTGTTTGAACCACATAATATTTTGAAGCCAACGGTACAGAATGGACATTCTATAACTACTGCAGATTCTTTCTGGCTATTGAACTATTTACAGAAATGCCCAGTTCTCTTATGTGGTCTGCCTCACTAAATAACCCACGTGGCTATTGAAGTGTGAGAAGAATGACTTTATAGTGTTCATTTTACTTCCACGTAAGTCTTCAGTTAAAAGAGCTATGCATTAACTACAAATATAGGTGTAATTTTAAGATAAATGTCAAATGCATGTAGAGACCATTGGAAGAGAAAGGTGAGGAGAGGCCATTCTTTTAATAGTTCATTCTGCTGTATTTATTTATTTATTGAGACGCAGTTTCGCTCTTGTTGCCCAGGCTGGAGTGCAGTGATGTGATCTCGGCTCACTGTGACCTCCACTGTCCAGGTTCAAGCAATTCCCCTGCCTCAAGCTCCCGAGTAGCTGGGATTATAGGCACATGTCACCATACCCAGCTAATTTTTGTATTTTTAGTAGAGATGGGGTTTCACCATGTTGGCCAGGCTGGTCTCAAACTCCTGAACTCAGCTGATCCACCCGCCTCGGCCTCCCAAAGTGCTGGCATCACAGGCATGAGCCACCGTGCTCAGCCTATTCAGCTGTATTTATTGAGAGTATTTACTTGTATCAGGCAGCAGTTTAGCTGCCAGTGATTCAAATAGCAAAAAGCCTTGCCCTTGGGAAGCTTACATTCCGGTGGCATAAAATAAACAATGAACAATAAAGATGAAATAAGGATGTTAGAATTTGATAAACGTTTTGCAGGGGAAGTAGAGATTGGTCATGGGGGCGAGGAGGTGAGTGCAATTTCTTATAAGCTGGGCTTGGACGAGTTTGTTAAAAAGGTGATGTGTGTAAGCCGACAATTGAAAGGCGGTCAGAGAGTAATCTGGGATACCTAGGGAAGGGCATTCTATTCTGGCAGAGGGAATAGCTGGTTCTGT